ATACTAGTATATCTTTTAGATCCATTCATTATCTACATGAAAAGAATATATAATGATAATTCAAGTTCATCAGACAAAGTGATATTAAAGGGGTAATGGACCCACAACATACTTTTTCAAAATTTTCACTGAAAAGACAACCTTTTGTCATAAAGTGGATTGCTCCAGGGACTTAAAAAAAACTGCATCTGGATGACCAAAACGAGCTCAAATCAATGGAAAGCATGAATTTTCTATATGGGGAAATAACATCGAGTACTAGTACTATATAGTCCTATAGTACTAGTCTGAGAGCAATTAAGTTTTCATTTCAAGAACTAATTAATAATGCATAAACATTGTAAAAAGATTGCCTTGTAAAAGTATGTTGGGTCAACTGTAACCTTTTTTTTTTTTAATAATAATAATGTTTATTTCAAAACTTCTAAGGCCACAGGCCTCCTAGTTACAGTTAATTTTCATACAATTTTAGACAGTGATAAGCAAAACAACTTAAATTACAAATTAAGTTTTCATTTTGAAGCAGCACGCTAACCACGAGTAGCAATTTTATTAACGTGAATGCAGTTGAACCATGAAACGTGAGAGTCTGATACGCGCGATTCGATAGTTTTGTTTTCCCAGGAGCTCCGACCCCAATACAAGCTCTCCATTGCTCAACAGATATTCCCATACTTTGGCCTGGCCACTATGGTCATGCACTATTACACAGCAGTTTTCAATAGATACAGGCTATTTATGTGGTTACAATATGTACAGCTATACATGAACTGACCTACTTATGTCCACTATTTGGCTGCCAATAAAACAATATTTATATGTAAAATGATCTAACTTTCTCACCGGAATTTTGTATCCTGTGTTCAATTTAGTCCAAATATTTTATGTATCCAAGATTCCTAGTATGTTCATGAACCATGTATCAAAATATTGTAACTGCATCCTATATATTTTTTAACTTTTAGACAATTTTAATCAGAGCTGAAATTTTATTTGTTTTCCTTGGTCACTGCCACAAAATTTATATAACTTTATATAACTGTAACCTCAATATCAACAGTCCAATTCACCAGATTATCACTGAATATACTTTTCATTGAGATAATAAATGGATCTGGAAGATATGCCTGTCTTCGTGGTCAAAAAATAGTCTGAAAACATTTGCCAAAACCCATATGGCCTTTTAAATCCAAAACACAGTGTGAATCATCATTCAATGCAATTTCAATGAAGAAGCCTACCTGGTTAGATTTACATTGAATACCATCACACATATTTCTGGCTTACCTAGGGTTGATTGGGGATTTCTTTTTATAGTTTATCCACACTAGGCCCGAGTGGCAGTATTTATACTTTTTGGATACCTGTAAGGCCAAGGAGTTTGAAGATGCAACTAGGGGAGATGCCTCAAACTTCGACATATGGGGTTTCTTCATCATGGGGCTACTACAACAATGTGGTTATTTCGACCATTGCCATTGCTGATAATTCATATTTCCAAGGTTGGCTATCTTGGATTAAGATCTCGCCAGTTGGAGATTTTAATTCATTTTTAAAATTTTCCAAAAACAAACATGGTGGACTTCGACAATCAGAAATATAAGCCGATGTTGAAATAGCCCCATGGTCAAAATAGCCCAATGACGAAGTATCCAATAAGTCGAAATTCTATGCATCTCCTCTATCAGAAGAGCAACACATACAAAAATATCTTGTCATAATATACTTTGTATATTTTACTGGCCGAAGATAATACAGTTCAACCATTAGATACACATTTAAATGAACTCCATGAAATGAAGATATTTCATGTGAAAGATATAAATTCCATTCTTAACATTTTACACATGTAAGGGAAGCATTTGTATGACATAGTAGAAGAGGAGGAAAACCCCCATGATTCAATTGATGACATACGATTTCCTCCTTCGCGCACCTCCTTTTGTCGAAAACGTACCCTCCATCTTGGTTTTCAAAGTTATCAAATTGACCTAGTTTTAAACCAATCAACGACGATGTCATCTCAATACAGATTTACATTATAAGCGTATGTCTTTGAACCCAGGGGTTTCTCCCCCTCTTACATAGTAGTTAGATCAATACAAAACATACATTCAGCTATATAGCTTTATTGGAGCTGTATAATACCTTCATACCTAATTATACAATTTCTTTAAATCATCTTTCTTTACCTTTAAGAAAATATGTTTTGGTACACATACTAATAATATCAAAGGTGCCTTGTCCCTTATTTTGAAAACAAAACAAAAAGTGATAATTGATAATTCAATGGTTTTTTGACAGTCATAACTCATCAGATATATGAAATATCATAGAATACCATACAGGAGCTGTTGACATTACCAGCAGAATGAGTGAGCGAGGTATTCATAGGATGTTCTGTTTATCCCATAGTTAACATGTCTGTCTGTAAGATTTTAAGTTCCATTTTTGTGAAGGTTTTTGACATTAGTCTTCCGTATTCTTCCCTTGTTTTCTGTGATGTGTTTGCATTTGTCTGTTCTTCTACAAAACTATTGATATTCTCATTACTGTTTTATATCTTTCTGGTAATAGGCCCTGACTTGGTCCAAATCAAACATAGCTGATTGACCATTTTATTTTTCAAATGAACACTGATCACTTGATTCACTTAATCAATAATCACGATGTAACTAAATGTATTCACATTATGTGAGTAGTTCAAATTAATGGAAAAAGTGATAATTGTAGAATATTTTCTGTATGACATAGATATCACTTTTTCCACACACTAGAAAAATATCATACAGTATTATTAAATGTAATTGCATTTATCATATATAATTTGGCCTCAACTATGGGATAAAATCAAAGATCAGAAAAGTGTAACTGTGGAAAGGGAGTTAATTGTAATGAAATATCTGAATATTAGACCAACGGGCATTTGGGCAATTTTTGCTGCTCCACTTTAATAAATCATGGCCTCCAGGATTGCCCAAAATGTCTCAAACTTTAACGTGTCATTATATTCTACTGACACTGCCATTGTTTGAAAATTCAAAAACCATTTGTTCCACCTTGTAGTAGTTCTACAATCACTCAATAAAAGACAAGGCATCTTTCATCGCTATTATCTAAAACTTATTTTGAATACCCTCCTTCGTAAGTTACATGAAGGTAAATATAATCGAAGATTAGAAAATTGATGCAGAATAGAAAATGAATGACATTGTTGATGTATTGCTACTGAGCAGTTAATACACCCAGCCAATTAATCTCTGCTTATAACCAACTACTTTATTGGTATCACACTTTGTATTGCTTACCAAATAGTACCATACTTTGTATTGACTACCACAGTGTAGAAAACTTTGTATTAAGTACCATTTGGTACCATACTTTGTATTATATACCATGTGAAACCATACTTTCTACTTTGGGCCATAGCATACCAAAATATGAGTGGTACCATACTTCATACATTGCATAATATTCAGTTAAAATGCATATGTGCATTGGTGTATCTCAGTATGCAGTGTGCACCATTGGCTGTAAACATATACAAGAAACAGTGATCTCCCCAAGATTAGAGAAAATGGCTGCTGCATTATGTTGAAAATTGTGGACTAGCTTTTTGAAAATGTGTTAGCTCGATGTCATGAGAATAAAATATCAAGGTATTGATCAGATTTTTTGGCTTCATTTTGAGCCATTTTGAGAGAATGTTCATTTTAATAATGATCTTAATCCAGAAGCCGAAATTACTTGGCTAGAAGACATGGCATGTGGACCACCCTGAAGTAATTAAAACGTTCGTCAAAAATTAAATCAACAGCTTCAATAAAAATGGCGGATGTTCGAGGACAACGACAAAAACTGGATGAAAATGTTATTAATGTCTGACATTATAACTGGCTGTAAATGCAATCCAAAAGATTTGAACTAATACATTGATCACTTCGTGCGTGCTTTGAGTGTTTTTGTGAGCTAAAAGACCAAAACTCACAATCCAAATTGTGAAGTGAAAAAATGGCGGCTGGTTGATTTCAAATTTTATGATCACGACATGCCTCATATACATGTAGAATAAAACACACGGGGATTTATGATAGGGGTAAGGCTGCAATATAGTGGAAGCCTTAGGAGAAGGTAAGTTACTATCATATTTTATATTTACCACACTTTCACTTTCAATGCAATATGCTTACCTTACATGCACTGTACGAAGTATGGACCAGTTCTATACACAGTTACTGTGTATGTATCATACGCATAACTTGATATGCAGCATACAATGAAGTATACCTGTATCTAGTCGTTTACTCAATACTAGTATAAAGTCCTTCCCCTATGACATGGATTGCACAATATATGACAAAGAGTGGGAATTAAAGTTCAGTAAAATATCTTGTTCCCCTCATGTTTAGCTTCCCCAGAGCCTCAGCAGCAGCAGGCATAATTTCTACACTAAAATATCCAGTGCTTTATGAGATCCTTTTCCCGGATCACAGTCTTACTGCAAACTTTCAAGACAGTGCCTATATCCAGCAGGCAACTGTTTAATTCATCTTTCACTTAATTCCCCCACATGGAGCACCCTTCATCTCTTACATGATCCTCCACTTCCTTCATCTTCACATACTGTAAATTGCTTCAATTTGGCGCTATTTAATTTGGCAGATTGGGCAAATTTTGAAATTTTGCCTGCTTTTCAATATGCTGGATTGGGCCATCATCAGTCATATTACTCACTTCACAGCTCGCCACCAATAATGCAATTTTATCTCTCCTGGTATCAGATTGTTTTATCTAAACCAGCGGGGACTGTGTAGGTCTTCGGAAATAGTTTAAAATTGACATTTAATCCATGATTCAGTCAAGATTTTCACCAAAATTTTACCGTGCAAGGTAACATATGAAAAAGCCACTATATGAAAATCCCCAGGAATTTCATTTTTTTAAAATTGGCGAAGACTTAATTTGGCCATTTTTATCCATCCGCCAAATTGGAACAGCCGTCAAATTAAAGCAATTTACAGTAATCCAGTGCTGTGATACATTTTCCTTGTTATGTTTTTTATTCTGATGCCTTACTCTCTAGTTCTAGGCTTTTCCACATTTAAAGCATGACAACCATGACAGTTTAGCATGGGTCAACATCTCAAACAGCACACAATGCAGCAAGCAGTGGTGGCATAATATACTCTACGCATTTCCCACACTCGCAACTAAAACTGGTATATGCCTATCGAAAGCTCTGCTTATATTTATGCTGTACATTAACTGTATGAATCTGGATATACACAAATTAACTGGTCAGCCCCTAGGTAGTATAAGTGCCAGCACAAAATGATCAATCCTCAACACAGGGACGTGTCAATCTTTGTCCTGTGTCTAGGTATGAGTGTGCCATTTTTATATTCCAAATTCCTCAGATGGCATACAAAGGTAACACTGCACCTTAATGACATCAAATCTCGTTTTGTTATTCAGCAACAGTTGTGTCATAAATGTAAGTGCATTTGGCAACAGTGCTATCATGACAGCCTATATGATGATGCAACAACGACAGTATCTCTGCCGACCAGGGGCTACTGAAGGGGGAGGGGTGACAGGGGCGAAGTATGCATGGACCTTGATATCTGGCAAGTGACTCTGAAAAACACAAAAGGAATATGTTTTTTTACAATTTGAAATCAAAGTTGTATGAATAATAGTTGAGTAAAATTAGCATCAGTAAAATAGATGCTCATTTTTTCAAATCATGGTCCTGGGAGATTTGTCACAATTGTAACATCACACAGCATCTCAAATATTTATATTTATTTCCTCCAGAATCATGCTGAGGAATTATGTTACATGTGGACTCACACTAAATTCTAAATATAATGGATTTCATTTATTGCAAGACCATTCAAATGCCATTACCCTTGTTAATGTAACAATTCTTTAGAAAGTGAAACATTTTAAATAAAAAATGGACTCTTAAAACACTTTTTCATAATGCATCAACAAAGAAAATGGAAAACGTAAAATAAAGTAAAATACAATACATATTAAGTGCTTATAGAAATTCATCAACTTACTCTTAGTCTGCGTATACCAGCCCTGGTGATCAATTGACAGTCATAGAGTTCTATTCGCTTCAGCCCCTGGCACCCCATTAAGTGTTCTAGTGATGCGTCTGTGATCAATGGACAATTGTCCAGTTCTAAAACACTGAGACATTCTGTAGAACACGGACTGATTCCGAGATGGCGTATTCCTTCATCTGTTATTAATTCACAGTGAGAAAGGCTCTGGAATACAAATTGGACATGAGGATTTATATTGTACATATATTTGCTTTTAAATGGAACACTTTTCAAACAAAAGGTTGTTGGTTTTTTTGCAAACTTTTGATCAAGGCATTTTGTCAATATCTATTTTTTCTCTTCCTTTTTACTTTTTCTTTAAATCCCAATTTTCAAACCCAAAAATTTGGTAGGACTTCAATATAAACCAGTGGTTTAAATTTCACGAGATGCCTTCAAATATTTGGAAGAATTATCGTTTATTTGACATCATCATGATCCAAATTAATATTAATAAAAAAATTCTTGAAATTTGCCTGATGGAGAAAAATTTTCTTTGGATATTAGTTTTGCCTCAATTTTTTGAGTGTACCTCAACTATATTTGGATCCTAGCTACACCCCTGGATATTTTGTTTGAAAACAGGAATCCATTGATGGCTAAAGGGCAGGGTCTACTGAGATAATGGACCCCTGTAAGACCCCATCAGTGTTTTTCCAGTCACAATATGTTATCATGCAGGAAGACAGAGAGGCTCACAACATCGATCTCAGTATTGAGCAGACAAATTTATGTAATGTGAAGAAAAAACAGTTTGTTCCATGAATTTCAGGACAACCTGTATGTCGCAAACAACTAAAAATGACCAAAAGCTGGCATTTCATGATTTTCATGACATGAACCAGATGGAACTACAAGTATGAAACAGTAAAAATAATATTTGTTTACATGTACTTAAAAATAATAAAGACGAGTAACTGTATGAAATGATAGAACCATGCGCTACTCACCAATTTATTTATTTTATGACAGTTTAGGGCTAAATGCACAAGAGTTGCATCAGTGATCTGAAAGCACATGTGGCGAGATAATGGACATGACGTGACATGGCGTGACACATCTAAAGCCAACTAGAAGTCGGACAACAGTGCACATCACAAGATAGACACACATACTACCAGGGTATTCCAGTCATTTCGTTGCGATTCGATTAGTACTATTTTGATTTTGGTTTTGCTTAATTTATTTTTTCTAATATTTTCCATGGCGCGGGTTTGGAGACAAGGAGGGAATATTACATGGTCATAGTTCACATGCATTTCTTAGAAGACAAATGTGAAATAGAAATGTCTAATAAATAGCATGCATCAAATTCAAGGGATAACAAAAAACAGCAGAAATAATATAAAGTTGCTTATTGCTGAGTGACATCCAACTAAGAGGAAAAGTCACAAGAAAAAAAGCAAAAAAAGCTATTTACATCTCATTTTTATGTTCTATCTGCCAAGATACTTTAAGATTTATAGAGAAACAGACTGAAACAGATATGACCAGATTTAATCCTTTTGAGATGTCTATGCTCCCCAGCATGACCTATGTGGATCACCCTGGTAGTATGAAGTCCATTCCCATGGTAACTCCTGAGACCCTATCTTACCAATTGGCTTAAATTATGACAATAATTGGCTAAATGGGCTAAACTGGCATCGGTTATCTGAAAATATTATCAGAAATGTGCAATTTTTAAACAATAATAGATTTAAGGTTTCCAGCTATGGAATAAAATGTATATTAATTTGAATGATATTGTTATGATTCAATATTAAAGATATCTCATCGGACATTACATTTATACATTATAATTATGTTAAAAAAAAAAAAAAATTATGTTATGTGGATAAAAGATGATTGCTTTTAGCAGCCATATCAAGGTAGCAAATTGGGGATGGACGAAGAATATTAATTAAAATTCTTACTAGCACACATTCTTCGAGATCCATTCTTTCCAAAACATGACAATTCTGAAACAAATAAACTGATGTGTTAAAGCCTTTAAGTTTCTAACTTTAGTCAATTGTGTTCAATTTGCGATATAACAAGAGAACAATCCATTTATAAAATCCAATCTTTTAGCAAAGTTTACGAATTGCAAACTAATTAGGCCATCAGCCTGGGGGGTTGGTCGGTATCAAATTAGGGGAATAATCGCCATAGTGATTTTTGGGAAGGTTAAGACCTCTAGAGTGAGAAAATATGTGATAGCATTGTAACAGTTGTAGCTAAATGGGTGTTATCACCCATTTTTCAAAATGGCCGCCGGTGCACATGTCACAATATAAGAGTAGGTATATCTAAGCACACTGAGATGCAAAAACTGTGATTTTAGGACCTATCGGTTTTAGGGGTCAAGGATTTCATTTATGTCTAAATCTAAGTCATCAAACAATTGTTTCTTATAGAAATCCAAGATGGCCACCAAAATGGGTGCAAAAATGAATATGTAACTACTGTTAATGCTCAAGAAACACTTAAGAACATGATTTTGGAGCCCATGTCTACGTTTTAGGGGACAAGGATTTGATTCATGTCTAAATCTGAGTCATCAAATAATTACTTTTCATAGAAATCCAAGATGGCCACCAAAGTGGATGCCAAATCGAATATGTAACTATTGATTTAAGCTCAAAGAACAGTTAAGAACAGTGATTTTGGAGACCATATCTAGGTTTTAAGGGTCAAGGATTTGACTTATGTCTAAATCTAAGTCATCAAACAATTACTTTTAATAAAAATTCCAAGATGGCCACCAAAAAAATGGGTGCCAAAATGAATATTCAACTATCAGGGTTCTCACTTTTAGACTTTGGAGATTCTCCGGAGTCTAATGTCTTAAAACCCTCTTGCTCCAGAGTATAAAAGCTTTTCCGGAGTCTAAAGTGTTTTTTCGGAGTCTAATTTTACATTTTTGTCACATTATTTACGGTAAAACTCTTGAGAAAATACATAAAACTCGATACACACAAGGAAAAGGAAGTCAGAAACCTTTTAGAAATAAATATTGGGATTAAATAGCATGATAATCTTAAGAAGTATGTTTAAAAGAATACTAATAGGATATCTCTGATCTCACATGGGGGAGAAGTAGTCGCGATACCGCAAAAAAAGTAGTCACATTACCGCTAAAAATCCGGGGTCTAAAAATTTCCTGATGAGAACCCTGACTAATGATTTAAGCTCAAAGAACAGTTAAGAACAGTGATTTTGGAGCACATGTCTGCTGATTTTATTTATGTCTAAATCTAAGTCATCAAACAATTACTTTATATAGAAAACCAAGATGGCCACTAAAATGGGTGCCAAAATGAATATTTAACTGATTGATTTAAGCTCAAAGATCAGTTGAGAACAGTGATTTTGGAGACAATGTCTAGGTCTTGGGGGTGAAGGGTTTCATTTATGTCTAAATCCGAGTCAACAAAATAATTGCTTTTCATAGAAATCCAAGATGGTCACCAAAATGGGTGCCTGCAATAACAAGCAAATGTTGATTTAAGCTCAAAGAAGTTTATAACAGTAATTTGAGACCATGTCAAGATTTTTGGCGTCAAGAATTTCAGTTACGTCTAAAACTATAAATAATTCCTTTATTTGGATCCAAGATGACTTCCAACATTGCTGCCGAAGTGAAAATAAGATTTATCATCTAAACATATAGTCTAAGGAGTTAGAACATTAATTTTTGATATTTTAAGTTTGTGTGGTCAATGATTTTAATTTTGTCTTTAATAAATCAACAAACATTTTATTGATCCAAAATGGCTGCCAAAATGAATTCATATAACTATCCAGTTAACCACATAGATCACCAACAAGAACAATAATTTTGGAAGCAATGTTTACTTTAAGGAGGTCAAGAATTTCAGTTATATAGAGCTATGCCATGAAACAATGTGTGATTAATATCAGAATTCAAGATCGGATGCCAAAGTGTTAATATTATAAAAGGTCAAATAAGAAAAAACAATTACATGAACATTTGCGTAATAAAATCTAAGGTATGATCATCACATTAGCAATGTTACTGTAATTTGCCTTCCTTTTCCTAAGTTTTGTGGTGGCTCCTTATCATAAACATTGACTATAGAAAGAATTCGACTGCCTATAGGACGAAGTAGATTATTGGATGGAGAACATCCAGCACAAAAAATTCCTCAAATACAAGTGTATCATACACCAGAAAGAGTTTGATGAAAATAAACATTTTAATCAGTCCTCAAAATCGTGACTCTGCAGCCATTTTGGTGGCCATCTTGGATATCAAAATAAAGGAATGACTTAATTATAGACAAAATTGAAATTCTTGACCCTTAAAACCAAGACATGATCTCCAAAATCACTGTTCTTTGAGCTTAAATCAATAGTTACATATTCATTTCAGCACCCATTTTGGTGGCCATCTTGGATTTCTATAAAAAGTAATTATTTGATTACTTATAGATTTAGACATAAATGAAATCCTTGGCCCCTACAAAATAGACAGAGTCTCCAAAATTACTGTTCTTAACTGTTCTTTTAGCTTAAATCAATAGTTACATATTCATTTTGGCATTCATTTTGGTGGCCATCTTGGAATTCTATAAAAGTAATTGTTTGATGACTTAGATTTAGACATTAAAACCAATGAAATGATCTCCAAAATCACTGTTCTTTGAGCTTAAATCAATAGTTACATATTCGTTTTGGCACCCATTTTGGCGGCCATCTTGTATTTCTATGAAAAGGTAATTATTTGATGACTCTGATTTAGACATAAATGAAGTGCTTGACACTAGAACTATGACATGATCTCCAAAATCACTGTTCTTGACTGTTCTTCGAGCTTAAATCAATGGTTACATAAGGGTATTTATTTTGGCACCCATTTTGGTGGCCATCTTAGATTTCTATAAGAAGTAATTGCTTGATGACTTAGATTTTGGCATAAATGAAATCCTTGACCCCTAAAACCTTAACATAGACCCTAAAATCACAGTTTCTGCATCTCAGTGTGCTTAGATATACTCACTCTTATATTGTAACATGTGCACCGGCGGCCATTTTGAAAAATGGGTGATAACACCCATTTAGCTACAATTGTTGCAATGCTATCACATAGTTTCTTACTCTAGAGGTCTTAACCTTCCCAAAAATCACTATGGCGATTATTCCCCTGATTTGATACCGATAACCTAAATTTTGGGGTGAAGCTGATGGCCTAAATGCAAAATACAGCTCTACCTAATATAATAAAGAAAACTTTAATACCGTACAGTTCAAATTGAAACCCTGTATTACAATTAGTCAATCATACCAACCTCTGACTACTACATATGATTTTACAATTAGATGGTGATACTTATCTTAATGATCTCAAATGTTAAGTGACCTTTTAAGGGAGTTTGAATGTGAAAGAACTCTCAGAATAAACTATTTGGAATTTAATGGAATGATTCTTTGACTACATATTCTGATTGAAAAATGGCTTCTTGGTCAAAGAACTCACTCTAATTGAAAGAACCATTTCTTATTTAAAGAGTGTAAACTGAATTGATCTTTTGTGAAGGGTATACATATAGATGACTCACTCTCGCTAAAGCTTGGAAGCCGCTATCAGTAAACTGTGAACATCCTGCAACCTCTAAAGTTCTGAAATAATATTGTAGCATGTTATAATACATTTTAGCAGAACAGGTTGAAATAAGAAACAATTGTAACATGTCACAATACATTATAGCAGAACAGCTTGAAATGTGAAACAATTGTAACATGTCACAATACATTATAGCAGAACAGCTTGAAATGTGAAACAATTGTAACATGTCACAATACATTATAGCAAAACAGCTTGAAATGAGAAACAATTAAATTGTAACATGTCTCAATGCATTATAGCACAACAGCTTGAAATGTGAAACAATGTGACAAGTCACAAGTATTTTATATCTTAGCCTGGCATACTTAGCTTGCCTGAGAATATATTGTTGCTTGAGTAATTCAATTTCAGTATTTTTAAATGCAATAATTTGTGTCTACTACAAAAAAATGAGAAATGGTTGTGACATGGAAACTGTCACAGGATATTGAGTATTCCATACTTTAGTTCATGACATCCATGGCCCAGAGATACAAGTGAGCCATCAGTGAGATGACTACAACCCATGACACACAGTGACTGCAGCTGGTGACAGTGTTCCCCTATACTGTGCAGTGCCTCATCTGTCATTGACTGAAACACAAAACTTGAATTATTGACCTTTCCAAAGGTTGAAAGCTTAAATTCAAAGCAATTAAATGAACATTTTTTGACATATTATGTTTGTGTTCCTGAATATATTTAATAGGCATTTTCTCACAAACCATTGTTTTTGAAATATATATTCATAATAAGGGATGATGTCCAATTATCAATAGGAAAGGGATAAATGATGATTTCTTGAGTAAAGACTTGATTTTTTTAATATTCAGGTGAAAGACAAATCAACATTTTAAAATTTATTTATATCAGGGCTGGAGCAAACCATAACGAAATTAACTTTTTCCACAACTGTTGATAAGTGAACATCATCCCTAACTTACATTGCAACTATGTAGGTTTAATGTTGAGAGTTTGGGGCAATTCTCAGCCACATGTATGATCCCCTCATCTGTGATCTGCAAATAGAATTCATTTCTTTTTATCTATCAAATAAATAATGAAATGAAATAGACAAAAAGTAGAGAATAATTATGGTATGTGAAATTCTTATATGATTTGTGATGTCACACTTACTAGAACGATTGATTTACTGGTCCATGATGAAGTATGTATGACCACTTAATTTCATGAATACAAATAAAGTTGATTTTCTGATTTGTTTATCGCATTAGAATCATCCAAAGACCTCGATTCTATGATTTCTGGCAAGTATATAACCATAGTGCCCATTGCCAAAGACCTCATAAATCATAGAGCCCTGTTCTTTATTCCTTAAAAGTATTTATTTAATGACAAATGTCTGTTAATTAAATATGAATCATGTGTTACAGCAGTGGGTTCCCTGATGACCCTAGTGCTCCAAAAGTAATCAATGATTTCAATGACTTTCAAGACTCTTAATTAGAACCTACCTTGAATTATTATCTGAGAATGATGTACATATCTAATTGATTCAGCAAGCTCATAATTTGCACAGGTGCTTAAGATTGAAAGTGAAATGAAAATAACTGTGGCTATACATACAGTAATTAGGTGTTTTATTGATTTTATACAATCTACCATATCCTCTGTAATAAGGGCCCACCTCCAAATAAGCGCCCACCCAAAAGTTCAAAGAGTATTGAGGTATGACCAAACATTGACAAATATATGAAAAAAGATCCCTGGTCAAAAACTAAGGAGAATACGGTAACTTAAGAAAAAATATATTGGTGCATAATATTTGACTGAAAAAACATGACAAACCTGCTGACATCCTTTACATATGAATACTTTTATTTTGCGACATCCTTTTGCCAATGCCTCTACCCCCTCATCAGAAATAAGTCGACACCACGATATGTTAACTGTCTCTAGGTTGGGGCACCCTGACCTGAAAATGGAAAATAATGGTGCTTAATGCAAACAGCAGCATGTTGTATTGAGGGCCTAATGCAAACAGCAGCATGTTGTATTGAATGCTTAATGCAAACAGCAACATGTTGTATTGAGGGCTTAATGCGAACAACAGCATGTTGTATTGAGGGCTTAATGCAAACAACAGCATGTTGTATTGAGGGCTTAATGCAAACAGCAGCATGTTGTATTGATGGCTCAATGCAAACAGCAGCATGTTGTATTGAGGGCTTAATGCAAACAGCAGCATGTTGTATTGAGGGCTTAATGCAAACAGCAAAATGTTGTATTGAGGGCTTAATGCAAACAGCAGCATGTTGTATTGAGGGCTTAATGCAAACAGCAGCATGTTGTATTGAGGGAACCCTTTTTAAGAGGTTTAGACAATAATGACTACTAGCAATTATTGAAAACAATCTGAAAAAAACATCTGTAATGGTCACGGATTGACAAAAATTTAATGTGAAAATTATTTATAAATATTTTATATCAGTTGTTTGAGTTAACAAATTTTTGTTTTTAGTGCAATTGTTTCTGAACCGGGGATCTAATATGAGACATATAGCGCAATTGGTACACGCTACCACTGAACTACACGGGTGGGCTTGATTCACTTTTCACTGATCTGATACAGCACACACTTGAAATTTAATTTTGCACCCACTTGAAAATGAGAAAAATCAAAATTGGTTAGAATTTTACACCCACTGAGGAAAAATCCTGAGAGAAACGCTGCATTTGCATACTATATTTACGCCTCACGCGCTTGCGAGATCTGAGTTTCATTTATGCAGCTTATCTAATGCATGATAAGTACAAGAACAAATTGGGAACACATAATCTCATGGTTGACAGAGCAAGCATGACTACATTAATTCTTTATTGGCTATCAATTCACCCTGTTGCTACATGACATCCTTTATTTCCCTTTCATTAGACCATAGTATGGCAATCAAATCCAGCCATTTATCTATACAGCAGTTAAGTGCTTCAACATAATTCTGCAACAGGCCATTAGACACTGTATGGTTCTACCCTGTTTAGTAAACAAAGTGTTATAGCTTAATAAAGTTAAACCTTATTTATCACTGTTGTGATTAAATGTTAACCCTTATTTGGTCGTTCCGAGGATGTAAAAGAACTTACCACTAATGCGATTCAATATAAACCCATATATGGTAATTTGGAGGATGTAAAACAACCTACCCTATAGCTTGCATGGAATCGTCAGATAGAGATGAACATGATCCAACATCAAGGGTTAGAAGTCTACTGCAGTAGCGACCAAGACTAGCACATGTCCTGCAAAATGAACATATAACTTATTTTTAGTCAGATGTTTTATTTTATAGATTGATATGAATAGTAGTAAAATAGTATGGTCTCTGTGTTGAAGCGCCGAGTTATTTCTGACCAGACGGACCTAACCATCATTCACAGACTGTAATAATATTACCTCTATTAATTTCTGCTCTTGGAGCCTGGGGTCTCCCTACCTAACGATATGTATATAATGTGTAAGGTAATAAAAAATGACCTATAAAGAACTAATGTTTACATACATATTCATGTAAGTTCTAACATTGGTCAAATGTTGTGTAATCCAATTCAAATGATTGCGAAGTAAATTGTAAAATAAATGTATTGTAATTAAGTAAAACAACAGATCGGAAAAACTAAAATATGGTAACATGACATTCATTTTTGCATAAGTACTGGGAATGGGAATTAAGATTTAATGCAATAGTAACCCTGTGGATGTAGATACTGCATAATAAATCAGAGACTTTCTAGAGGAATATTATCTTTTACATATTTTTTGTATTGTAGTCATTTTGACCTGGAGTCTATGTCTCGTCTCTCTTTTAGTTCGCAATAATGGTCATGTGACTATTGGCTAGCCTTTGCGTCTTTACAAGGTATTATTGGTAACAGGATTAGAAAATGAATCTTTAAAATAATGCATCTCCATTAGAAATCTGTCACATGAACAAATTGATATGGAAAGTACACCATCCGTAATGCCGTCTACAAAGTGGAATGAAGAGTTGAGAGTAAGATTGCTTAATGAATGAACGAAAATAATAGACAAAATATTTAGTCCTGCTCTCTAGTCTTGTCAGAACACCACATGCAAAATCATCTTCTAGTGACCCAATCTCTGAGCAATTCATTCAGTGCGATTGTGTCTTCTTTCTTGCAGATGTTTAAATCACAGGGGTTTTAAGCTAGTTAATTAAAATAACACTAAATATTGTCATGTAAAAGTAAAATACAATGTTGCTTGTTAAGAAATGTTTATGTTAAAAACAGCAAGAAATTTTGCAAAAATTAAACTTTTCAAGGCAATCAAATGATGACTTCCTGGCTAGCCTGGGATTTTCAAGAATAGATTAATTTTGGCAGAAAAAATAAGTCATGGTGAGACTTGAAAAACCTCACCAGGTTTAGAACTACTTTATACACTTCTGACAATTTCCAAAGTATGCAGACAAAGATTTAAGCATTTTCTTTCGAAATAATTTGCAGAATGTGTGGAAATTCAGAAATGATTCTTAACAATAGAAGGACTTTAACAACTGAACATTTGAAGTTGACACTAAAATGATTTCAAGAAATTACATTGCCACAAGTTGAAACTGTAAAAATTTAATTGTTCTTTATTACTACCTTCCCCTGTTTAACACCACAAATGACATTTTCAATTTATCCATTGTGACTTTTCCATTAGACCGTCTTTACTGTATCTGTATAGCATTGACAAAAACAGTATATCCTTATTATAAAATATCTTGTCGTAAGTAAATATATCAGAATAGAATATTAATAGGCCACAAGAAATTAGATCAGGCTGTGTCTCTAAATGGTTTGTTATCACTAAGAATGTGGTAAATACTTATATTAAGTTGTATATAATACAGATGAGCAAAAAACATATCCTCCCTAACTGTGTGAAAAATCCTTGAGTACAATCTTTGCTATTTCTGAATACATGAACATAAAGAGAAAATGACAAATATTACCATTAAGATATGTTAAATATTTATGACATGACAAATATTACCATTTGAATATATAAAAGCGATATCAATGGCTGATCTTAAACTCAAGACAAGAAACACAGTTTTTCCTGGCCTCAGACTGACTAATATTTGTAGTATTGGAGAATTAATGTGCTATAGGGAATCTCAGAAAGCAAGCCAGTTAATAAAAATAACTTACACATCAGTTATCTGCTTACAACCATTCAGGTTCAATGTTTCAATGTTCCGACATTGTTGGGCGAAAACTCTGCAAAAAAAACTCATTATCAAAGAACAACAAATGAATATGTCATCATACTCATATTATTATTCATTTATCAGTACAAATTAAGCATTTCTTGGGTAAATCAAAAGCTCACTGCTTTCTTAACCCAATGAAAACATTTAGACATGTGACATAAACATGCAAAATGCCACCATATACCAACCATCAAACACTATCCACAAAAAGTTGGAGACTATACCAATTTGTCACCACTTCTGGTGGTGACATTAAAAGAGCTAAAGACAATTGGATTGCATCAAGTTCCTGCACCCACCCACCCACATTCTCTCTCCATCATTAGCCAAAGTGGGGTGTAGTAGTAAAGGGGTATGAAGCAAAGCTACAATTTATCATTATGGAATTTCACAATTAATTAACCACAATATTCATCCAATATGGCTGTCTGGATATTTCAACATTCACGAACTGTAACAATATGGGACTCTAGAATTCGGGGCTTAGTGTCTATTTCTAATCCTAAAATACACCAAAATTGAAATAAATTCAGAACAGACCTTGAGACTGAGTAATTATAGTTTTAAGTATTCTACATTGATTGATCCTCTGCAGTGGTCCCTACACAATTTAAGGTTAAAACAGTTGATGTCCCAAAAACTAAAAACATCTGGCTATTAGTTAATGGCCTTCAAAATAATCAATTTGGGACTATTGATAAAATAACCTCTCGCTAACTCAATGTTCTCATGATGAGTTGGATGGGTTACAATAAGTAGAATTTAGAATAATGTTTTATCATTCATTCAAAAAAAGTACACTATGTAGCATCCACTCTCCAACACAATGATACGATATCATCCTAATGTCTTGATTGATAAGTTTCTGGAAAGTGCTACTCAGGCGTAACCCAATGCTTCATATGAATGGATTCTCATGTGGGAAAATCACATTAATAAGGGATGGAGATTATTTCTCATTCAACTCATTATACTTTCACACACGAGCACCATATCTCTCTATGCATGGTATGGGTGATTATGATTGATTTATCAAATGACACGCAATATAAAATATTATGCACCACCTGACCTTGACCTTGCATTACTGCAATCATAAGCATCAAGCAAACTTGCCTGAACGCAACTTGCTAGAAATAAACAATTTAGTGATCCTAGATTAAATATAATATAGGTACCTGGAGAATAAGAATCAACTTATCAAAATAAATTAATTGAATCAAATGTCAACCTGATAAGAGGTCAGTTTCATCAGGCTGGAATCAAAAATTGCAATTTGGACTCTATGCACTAAGTGAACATTTTTCAGTTTTCTTATAATGTATAGTGTAGCAGCATCAATAAAGTACAGATCATAATATCTCGCATAATCTAACCTTTTTCAGAATACTCCCCGGCTTAGATGTTCAAATGCTCATATTGAAATCCAGGGACTGAGAAGTAGATCTCATATACCTTTACTTCTCGTACACTTCTCAAAATTTTAATTCAACAAGTGAGAAAATATTCTAGTGCCAGAAAAGTCGTTGCTATGTTAACACAACATTGAAGACGCAGCGACACCTAAAGCAAGGGTACGCAATGATGATATGGCATATTATATTTAATTAGGCTTGAAAACTGATAATCAGGGGATCTCTGGGTCTGATCTTTTTCTGAAAAAACAAGGTCATCATGACCTAGGAGTGAAATAAGCATATTACAACATAGCAGTCTTCAACTAGTGATATTGATCCCATGATGGCTTTTACAGGAAACAATAAATGTATTTTTTATGAATTTACACGATAAATGAGAGGCTGGATGTAGTCTGATACTATGATAGATCAATGTTTTTCACCACTTCCTATTTCCACTAATTATTGAGAATTCACACTATAAAATTGTATGAAAAAATTAGAGTAAGCAGTAACATAGATTCATCTAGTTTCCATTCACCGCAATATATTACTCCTCTGATGATTACAAAAGATATAAATATACTATTCTGATGCCAAAAAGATTGTGATGACCCCAGAAGGAACTTTTGCCACTCAGAGGCAACTGGGATATTATATAAAACGAATGCCAGCTACTTATGAAGGCAAAATTTAATTCTGATTGACTAGCTGTATTTTGGACAATCAAATCGAACTGAATAAGGCGATGTCAAAAAATTCAGTTGTGAGTTAGACTGATGGTACATTCATACATATCTTGTATCATATGTTGAACATGGGGGAGAATCCAATATAACCCTTTGCAGTAATTTGATTTTGCTTCTCTAAAAGAGAGCCTCGTCTTATTATTACCAGCCCATGAACCTCAGGGTAATTCCACATAGGTCCTGCATCAGGCCATCAGAAGCATATCAAAATATCTATTACATATTTTTAATAAGCCATTAAAGCAACAGGGTCTGGGATAGTCTATTGATATTCTGAATGATAACCCTCTTGAGTAAACACATTAAACCCGTATTTGGGTCAAAAGTTGGGAAATCACTGTCAGTTTCTACAGATCTCCACAGCAGTAGGCAATAAAATCCATTCAAATTGCATATTGGGTAATTATTATTTCAATCGATTATTCCGTCAGTTGGCATATAACACTTAATTCACACTTACTTTAGTGCATGGTCAGTAACACTTTGACAGCCCCGTAAACTGAGAGACTTCAGAAAGCCACCACATCGCTTGGCAATGTTTTCTACAACTGGGCCCTGGAAGAAGATTCCGAATAAAAATGACACTTTCAACGCCAAGAAAAAAAACAATGTTAGAGTAATTTCTATTGAATGAATTAAACATTAGGTGTTGAGGTATATTATAACCACTGTTTTCTAGGGGTATTAGTAATAATTTAGAAGGCATTTATTTTACTATATTGACCTGAGCAATTTGTGACGTCATAGTGGCGGGCCAATAATGGATATAACAGCCCACCAATGTTCCCCGGGAAATGAGATATCGTTCAATGCGTATAATTTTCGTTCAGTGGTACTCAGTTCTTGCTATTTCAGCCCTGGACATAAATGGTGGTAATAATACTAATAACGTAATTTCTGCGGGCAAAATAGTAAAATATTGGACCTTGGGCCATCAGCCTTTTATCCAACATTTTGGTCCAATGTTTCACTATATTGCCCTTTGAAATGACTTTATTGTACCATGTACACCTTTGCATATTTATACAGGCTGTATGATTAATAATTGTATTATCTAATGTTATTTTTAATTTGTCTGTAATTTCCTTGAGTTTCTGAGCTTGCAAAAGTATAACATGAAATACTTATTGGTAATACAGCAATATGTTCAATGTAAATGAGCAGATATGACGTGCAGTCTGAAATAAGCTTGGAAGTATGAGACATTAGCCTTCATTAGATTTTTATAAATGTCATCAAGAGGGCGATAAAACATAAATGAATAACTGAGCAATGCATCATACGTAAAAGCTTATTCTACCAAATTACTGGGTACAGCAGATACAATATGTCAAATATACAATTTATATGACACGTCATTTTTCAAATGGTTCATGGCTTTATCAAATCATTACAATTTGGCTCATGAGAGCATTTTAGACAGCCCACGGATACATTAGTGCACTATACTTCTTCATGATTCTGTGCACGCTCAATTATTATTGACTTTTTGGCTTAACCATTTTTCATTATGATTGGTTACTACATGTATATAACATTTATAAATAAGATAAATATCAAATAAAATATGTGATGTGTTAAATCTTATAAAATAGAGGGCATCGGTTGATTAAAGTAGCAGCAAAGACTTGAGTTTGTAAATTGTGAGAAGCAATCTTTATCAAATACAAAGAAATACCAAAATGACTGACATGATGTGATTCGTGTAAAAAAGATGATGTAGTTACGGATGGTTTTAATCCTTATAGAAGTTAGAATTTTTGACACAAGTGCTTAATTTGCTTAAAAAGCTACTTTTCAAGAAAAGGTGCCCATTTTGTATTTTGTCTTAATGTTTCAACAAAACTTCTAATCATTAAGAGTAGTCCATGTAATATGTTTGCCGTATGATAGTATTGTTTATATGTTGCTTTTTCATTTTTCTATTGAGAATCAAAATACTCTGGACCTGGTTCATTAGAAATTTCCAAATTGTCACTATTGTTGACTGACAGATGGACGACAGACAAATAATTGATTGCAACAGGTCAAAATGTGAGCAAAAACAGGCTAAAAATCCTGAAAAATAAGCAATATCAAATAATCACAAAGATCGTAAAAACTTATTTTAAGTTGCACCTACATGTATGCTTGTCTATCAATGTACATGTAGATAAAGATCTTTGATAACTTACCTCAACATCAGTCTGGAAGTCAAATAGGTCAATTTTCTGCCAATTGCTGCCATCCAGTGCTAGCAGGTTCCAATACTAGAGTAAGAATATCAAAGAGACAAAAGATAAGGTACACAATGACCATTTTAGTAAATAAACCCTGTGTATATCTTCTGTATTTTAAAAAGTCTTCCACTTGGGAGGACCAAGGTGTTCCACTTACAGAGGATCATTTTTCTTCAAATTATAGGAAAAGCTACTTTGAAAAGCATGCTGTTGATGGAGGTGTTCTATATTATAAATAAAAGAATAAAATCGGTGTTGAGGGAGTTAAAGAAGCCATATACTCATCAAACTGAAAATAATATGCAGTAGTTCACATTATGTATGAAACAATTAATGGTCGTTAAATTCTATGAAAATTCTTGTTATTCCTTGCTTTCATTTTGATACAGGCTACAAATCTCTGATATTCAAGACCTAATCAATATTCAGTTTTTACATAACCATGTAATCATGATAATTTCATTCTCATTATACCAATTTCATTTCAGGGAATAAACTATCTTGAGGTACATATTACACATACATAGAATATGAAAATTGACACCTATATATATGCACCACAATTGAATGAATAAATAACAAAAAAGGATTATTTACCTTAGATACCTGTGCACATCGGCATAAAGTAACCACATCTAGATAGGAAAATATTCTGAAAAAACAAGAACAAGCAAACTGTTTAGTTCAATTTCTATTTGGGTTTTGTTTTTTGACTCACCTTGTTCAATACATAAAATTATGTTTAAATTACAGTTTAATGTTTTCAAAAAGAGTTCGTGAAATGTTAGCCTCATGGCCACTGTTGCTAACAACAGCAATTATGCCTGGTTAAACTCATTTTCAACACCATGGTTACCATGCCTCACTACAGCCACTTTTCCTTGACAATAGCTATTGTGCCTGACAGTCATTATTTTACTCACCGAAGTAGTAATTCTTTTGGTAATCGCTTGTTGATGATTGGTTCATTGCTTGTTACTGTCACCTGGTGGAGCTGCAACACAAAAACAAATATATACATGGACTGGAGAGAACAGATTATTCAAAATATCCTCACTGATTTGACTGGTGATTTAAAAGACTGAGACATGTGAACAGCAATAAAAAAGACTTAGTATTTAGAGGGAACAGTGTAACCCCTATCAGTTGCCATATAATCTGAGATTAACATTTAAAATCCATTCCAAATGTAAAAAGCAAAACATGAAAGCAAAGCATACATGGAGACTTAACTTATTAATAGGAATTTTTTCATGTGAATGCAACACCTATTCATTTTTCATCATTATGTGCAAATAAATGAACCATGGCCCATGTGCTTACACAGTGAGCTCTATATAGCATACACTTTGATATAAAATACAAAATGATTTTTTTATGAATATTGATTTCTTGAGAATTTGGGAAGAATTTGGGAAATTACAATGACAGTTCACACATGCATGGGGAAATGTTATCAAGATCCATAAGTGTGAAAAACAAACATACAAAACCGTTTTTGTAACAAGGTATTAACAAGTGTAACAATGTTACAGACACTAAATGCCAAATCCCAGTTACAAAAAATGGTAGCTATGAAAACAAGTGATAGTATGAAAATTAAATTCAGATTTTTTTGTGGCAAAATTACTAAGTAGTGGCTCAGTATGAATAATGGATGACTAGAAGGCAGATAAGTGATGGGATAACTGGTGCACTTATAGTTATGCAATTCATCCTCATCTACTATGTTAGTGATTATAAGGTATCTATATACCAGTATAAGGCTACTTATAATTATTGTATCTCTTAATCCCTATGATGCCAATTAACCAATTTCATAATCTACAACTGGCCTATTACAAGAATTGCGAGAAATTCTGGATTCTTTATGTTTAGATAGGGTACCAGTCTACTGGTACCTTCAATTTTTGTTTTGATTGTACCTAAAAAGGTATAATATTGTTGTTGGCTTGGCTGGTTATCTGACATTGGTGTTTCACTTTCATACTTTTTGTCAAGCTTGGCAGATTCATTTTTCAGGGATATTCAGGTTTTTAATTGTATGGAAATCTAGAATTGATTATTTTGGGCATGCTGGGTAATTCAAAGGCCTACTACACTATACATGTATATCCATTCTTTTTGACACTTTTTTCTACAGTATCGGCCACGGCTTAACCCTTTGGCAATACTCTTTTTCCACTCCAAATTGTGAAATCATTTGAACTTACGGCTGGATATGTGTATATATATGCTGGCAATATGTCCCTACATATGAAGTAGAAGTGAGGACATAAACAGAGGGATAACTCCTCTTTGTTATTGAATAGTAGAGAGTCATAAAGAATAAAAAATGCAGTATAACTTACAAAAAGCTATATTAGAAAATACAATGCGTTAAAGGTATTTAACAAAACACAAAAGCAAATATCATCACAGCAGCTACAATCAAAGACAACACGATAATTAAGAAACTCAAAAGCAAATTGAACATCCTAGAAAGCAACTAAGGTATGCAGTATAGTCGGGTTTAATGACTTGGACCATTTATTCATGGCATTCTAGGTAACGAAAAATGGAAAATCATGAGCACATGGCAAGAAATGTCTTATAAATGAAAGAAGATTTCGATTAAGCTTCCAATAGCTCATCAAAATCTTATCAAAAGTCATCAAGGAAAAAATCTATCATCTTACTCATCATACAAATCAAAGAACTTATATGAGCTTTATTATGGAGTGAAAGTCAGCATAGCCTAGATGTAATCAAAGCAACTGTAATATGTTTCTATTAGGCTTACTTATCAGTAGTGTTTCAATGACAGCTAGTTAACAAGGGTGTCGGAGAATATCTGCTCAAATGACAGCATCAGTAAATAAATGCCTTGATGTTCATTATTTTAAAGAGGAAATTAGTGAAAAATTAGTGGATATCTCAAAGAAAATGAATAAATATGAAACTCATACATTAAAGTATACAAAATGAAAGAAAATTAACCAACTCTGTAATTTCTATTGAGCATTGATATAAACAAAAGTAAAGTATGAATGGCATTCCAATGACAGATCGGGACTGTCAATGCCAACTGCAATTTCATGTTCGATCAGCTTCGGAATTAAGTGAGAAGATGTAAAATCAGGAATTGTTTCTTTCTGAAAGATGGGCAAACAAGTATTTAAGCATTTCATTTCAAAATGGCAGAGAGGAACAACAAGCTGAGTAAATTTTTTTAACAAGTCCTATACCAGAGAACTGTCCCTGGAAAGTCTAACCTGATATCTTGTTGTTTTCTGAGAGATTTAGGTGGTGGGAAGATAATAATATGGGAATTAGGCTAAGAATGAGACTGAAATCCCAATGAACAAAAGTGTTTCTTTTAAATCATCATTTTAAAAGAAAAATACCTATTATTGCAGTGAAAGAAGTGAACTAGTTTATTTTATTCTTTCATCTTCCCAACAGAAAACATCATCCACACAAATATGACATCGTCCGTTCCCACGCTCAATCACTACGTTCTATCCCGTGGGTTCATATGACAAACTTGAGACCCAAGTAATATGTGGCGTCTCATTCGTAGAAATGCCTCGTGGAGTGTGCGGGATAGCCCGTGCGCGGGATAGCCACAGTTGAGGAAATTATTTAAATTAGGCCCCTGAATCAGTATTCAGAAAATGAAAATGGAGATATTGTTTGAAAAAATTTTCGGTAAGTTTCGTCTGATCATGAATTCTTTAAAACCCTATCAAAAAGAAGCGATAGAGGCAATAACAGAAGGTAGGGATGTATTCGTGTCATAGAAAACTGGACTGTGGTGACAAAGGCCCTTCCTATGGATAATGATATTCAAGACAGCGCGTCAGCGAACTCCCGTGCAGTGATATCATCACTGCGGAGGGCAGGTATCTCATCGTAAGCATGGTAACTTCGTAATAAACAACTGACGTGATTGGTTCTAGTCCCATGCTCAGGTCCCGTGATTGTAAAATGTAGACAATTTCATTGGTTGAATTGCGCGTATTAACTAATAAACAACACGTGCGCTAAACTATTATCAACAAAACTTTTACTCAGAATTCCTTCCGCGGTGATTTCTTCTCATATTTCAATAATTTTGAAATATTTTGACAAAATAATGATTGGTGAACATAAAAGAACATATATTTTATAAGTTGTATGAAAATCAAGTACATCTGTGCCAAATTTTGGGGATTCCATAATCTGCCCGCCGCAGTGTCTATACCGAGACACTGCATGGGAGTTCGAGCGCGTCAGCTGGGGTTTGTTTATTTAGTGTATAACCAATAAGTTGTCGTGAATCAAGGTGAGAATAGGTTCAAGCTTCATGAAGCAAGATGCAAATATGAAGCAATCTTTGGCACCAATACAGCTTTATACAACCCAGAGCTGTCAAGTGTCCCGCGAATGGCGGGATTATCCCGCGAATTCGATCAAAATTAGGCTAATTCGCGTGTCCCGCAATGTCCCGCGAAGTCCCGCAAATGTGGCTTTCGACCTCCGCGAATTTCCGAAATTGTTGCAATCCCCTATATTGTGATTATCTAATCTTATATAAGAAGCTAAGTTTTTGCACTTTTGAGGAGTAAAGTTTACCTAATTTTAAGTACCTAGCATGCTGTTGTTTGGTATCAAAATAAAGAGGAAGGGTTCAACTTTCATTTTAATTACGACAATAGGGATGTAGGTCAAATAGTTCCAACGTTGGCCTTTTTACTATCCGTGTGGCCTTTATCTCAGAACTGAGCAAATGTTAGCAAACGCGAGTTGCAATAAATGGACGCTGATATCTAGAAAGGGTTTGTAGAAAAAACCGGGTACCGGGTAGACAATCCTCCATGCTGGGTTCAAACTTGGTACCCGGTACCCGTTCAAAAAACGGGTAAGCTTACCCAAAAACAAAACGAATATACGAGTATAACATAATTAGATTATCAGAAAACGTGTAAGATTTGTTTTGAAATTATAAAAATGTGTGTAACATCCTTCAAAATTGAGCTAGAAGCTTCAAATAAAAAGCATATTTTAAGGCTCTTTTCTTCCTCTATCGTCATGACCATATTTTCATCGGTTATGGGGGGGGGTGCGATCGCACCATCGCACCCTCTCCTGGCTACGCCTATTACATTGTAAGACATAACAATTTAGTGGACAATTCAGTGGACATTTTGTCGACAGTTGGGATAACTTAAATTATGATTAATAATCAAAATCTTACACATTGCATCATGTAAATTAACACACGTCACCTCTCTGCTAAAGCAACGATAGCAATTTACAGATTTAAATCATAATCAAAACAATTCATGTACCAACATACGAACTATTGAAAATAGAGTAAAATTGATTTGCCTTGTTATTCAAATCGTCTTACAATGTCATTGGCGTAGCCAGGTGAGGGTGTGATGGTGCGATCGCACCCCCCTCCCCCTTCATTACCAATGGAAATATGACCATGATGATAGAGGAAGAAAAGAGGCTTAAAATGCTTTTTATTTGAAGCTTCTATCTCAATTTTGAAGGAAGTTACATACATTTTTGTAAATTCAAAACAAATCTTACACGTTTTCTAATGATCTAATTATGTTGTATATTCGTATATTTCGTTTTTTGGGTACCCGGTTTTTTCGACCGGGTACCAAGTTTGAACCCAGCATTGAGGATTTACTACCAGGTACCCGGTTTTTTCTACAAACCCTATCTAGAAAAGTAACCTCATTCCCTATAATTTGATGTAGATTAATCGAAACCCTATACCATGGGCTTTCAATTGAAATAATATTTCTATGCGTATTTTGTGAAGTTATGTTGACGTTTATTTAAGTTACAATGTAACGGTGCATTATATTTGATTAATCAGTATCTGAAAGTTTGATTTAAGTGCTTTTACACGCTTTTACATTAGTCCAAATCACGCAAATCCCTTGAATGTCCCGGGACATCCTGCAAATTTAGGTGGATGTCCCGCGAAATCCCGCAAATTTAGGGCACTTTTTCTAGAAAATCTGTCCCTCTATGAAGTTTTTGCTGGTAAACCTGTTAACTGTCCCGCAATTAGGGTGTTTGTCCCTCGAATGGTCCCGCGAAATCCCGCGAATTTGATAAAAAAAAATTGGCCAATAAGCGCAATCACGCAAATCCCTTAAATGTCCCGCGAAATCCCGCGAATTTATTAGATGTCCCGCGAAATCCCGCGAATTTTGGGCACTGGGTCTAAAAAATCTGTCCCGCGAGAAAATCTTTGGGGGTTGACAGTACTGTACAACCAATCAAAATTTAATAACTTCAATATTCAGTATATAGTCAAAGATTTCAGGTTGAAGAGACCAAATTGTCTGACCTCTTATTTTTGTTTTCAAACTAATATACTCTATAGGTTTTGATATTTTTGATTGTCGGTTCATATTGATATTCAATAGGGTACATACAAAGGACCTAGTACCACCTTTTCTCTTTAACATTTCACTCATTATAGTAGTTATTGCAGGTTAAGCAACAAATTAAACAAGCAGAGACAATACCAAGCATCGAAGAAACAAAACAAGACAACACCAAACATAGACAAGAATGCAATGGTGAAGATAAACACAAAGGAAAAGCATGCTTGATATCTTACGCCATTTTCATTTGGTATGTAGTGGCCATTCAGTGCAACCTCCTGAAAATATAAGTAACACATTCTTAATTGTTTGTTAGAATGACGATCAATGTAATAATCCATATTTTACTTAAAGTGTTAATCCATCCAAGTCTCCCTATCTTCTTTGAAATCTACTGTCTGCGAATTACATGTCATATTTCCTAAATATGTAGTGTGTACCTACCAATTTACTGAGTTCAATGTCTAGATAAATAGCACAATCCATGATCTTTTATTTACATTCATGTATGTTTACATATGTTGTTTACAAGTGATACCATTACCATGTGTCCCTTGTTTATATTTTACTTGTCACTGTCACATGTTTATATTTCCCCAAATCACAAAGAAGGCTTAATGTCCTGTTCTTGAATGTAGATGAATAAGCACAGGTGTACATTTTCTTCTATAAAACTGAAAACATTTTTACAGTCCCTTGTTATACTGCCATGTCATCTTAGTACATTTCCTAAACAATCACATTTCAAAAACCTCAGATGTTGTATCTTACTTCCTTATACATTAGACCTCAATCCTTGTTTAACTTATGTAGAATATAAATTTGTAGTCACAAATTTGTTTCTGTAGACATTTGTCAAACTATTGCATAACACAGGATGCTCTGATGACGATCTTTGAAATATTGCATCGTAAATCATTCAATTTCAACCCGATGATCGGAGAAATTGGACGGAGGGGGATCAAGCAATACCTTTTCTTGGTAGATACCCATTCTATAGGTTCACTTACATTAAAATTATATTCTTTTCATAGTTTGATCATTTTGAGTAAATGGTTTAATCTTCTTGCTTGGAGATCGGAAAAATGAAATTGAAGGGGGGGGGGGTAGGCTGGGAGAAGGCAGGAAAATTTAAAAATCTGGACGATTTATTTTTTCAAGAAAAGGTTTACTACTGAATTTTCTGAACCGATACGCTTCTAAGATTTGAGATCTATTAAAAAAGGAGCAAGGCTATAAGAGAAATGTACCTCCCCTATCCCTAGAATAAAGGTTGTGCAACATTCACAAGCAACTTTCAAGATATAATAATTTGTCTCATGTCAACTTGTTCATTTAGAATCCATGTCAGTTGGTGATTTTATTGAAGTATTTCAATTGATTGATCACTAAAAATAAACCTCTTTGTACCATCGCAATTTGCTATCAGATCTTGCCAGAAATACAGTTAGAGACGTTGATTATTTAACCCACATAAAAACAGATAAAGGTTTCTTTTAACTGTGATTACCTTACCATTTAATTCAAATAGATATATTTTTCATAGATTTATATATGGATATAACCAACTGTTGTTCTTGTGAGATATTGTGATAGCCTTTCTTTATTCGTAAGAGATGTATTTTCATTACTCATGCGTATAACCAGAAGAAGTGAGTAGCTCCCATAATACTATCATATTCTTTCGTTTTCGGGGATTCCTCTTAGCCATCCTATATGGTCATACAAGCCTTATATGGATCTGTCACATGATATTCAAAATGGCGGACAACGGTCAGTTGGATTCCTATATGATCATGTAAGCCTTATACGGATCTAGCACATGGGTACCACGTGATCGAATACGAAGGCTGAACTTTGGGAGATCTCCCCCCTGGCGTATAACAATCTATTCTACTTGTAAAATTATTTTAAATTGTTGGTGACCTTAAATCATTTATATCTACCAACATTTTTGGCACATTGGAAACAGCATGCTCCCCAATATAAGCCAGTTTACCACAAGAGATCAACAATTGTAATAAATAGAAATGCTTGTACAATAATACATGTAACGAGAAAACTATAATAGATGTTCTTGTCCTTTCCTTATGTTGAAGACCCTGAGACAGAATAAGATCTATAGGGAGTGACAAAATTGCAAGCGACATGAACATTGTATAACTGACCAACCAATATATTCCTCAATTACAATATCTCCAAAAATATGGGTAACATTCGCTTCTGTTTGAAGTTCCATAACGCTAGGAGGAAAAGCTGTTAAAAATGGTGCCAAAGTATCATACTCGAAATTGTACCATTTCTTCTTAATGGCACGACATAGTTACACAATGATATTTACATATGTTTTCAGAATAACTCTGGAGGTATTAATGAGATATTGATGTTTTGGTTTTTTTTAATTCTTTTATAAAAAATAATGTTTGGATTTTTGTCCGCTGTGACAAAGCAGTTGTGAAACTGCTCCATTATAGTGGACAGAAAATGTAAACATTATTTTCTTAAAGAAATTAATAAAAAGACCCAATACATCCAGATGGTACATTTTAGAGTTTAATACTCTGGCCCCATTTTCAATAGCTTTTACTCCTAGCATTATAGGTTATCCGCAAATGATATATCCATTGCATGGAGTAAGTAATTTAAAAAGCGGACAAATCTTTCGATACCACCCCGTGGTTATAAATTGGTGAAGTTCTGAAAAAATGGGGGGAAAATGTTTAAATTCTCCATTTAAAGAAATAAATATGTACTTTGTTGTTTTTTTAGAAAATAGACATATGGCAAGGAATGATATGAGCCAAAAACATTTTAAAGTTGAAACAATTTATTGTAAAGCCCACTCACTAGATCTGATTCTCGCTTTCATTTTCATCATCACGATTTATAATATGTATGAAGCTTTTCAGTTCACCAATATTTACTTTGTTTAGGCCAAAATTATAGTTTGGGATCTTGTCATATAATGAATGAGAGTTTGATGTGAATGTCCCAAATTATGATCTGAAGTTCTAATTTGAATAATACCAGTATGTCACAATCCCAACTTGAATATGATACACATAAGATACAGATGTAGTTTCAAAGATGTTTCATATTAGTTCAGCAATGTTTCATATTGAATTGACATTAATGTTTCATATTGGTTCACATTGTTTCATTTTGGACCAGCTAAGCGTTTCATCTTGGTTTAGCAATATTTCATATTGGTTCAGATGTGTTTCAATTGGTTTAGGAATGTTTCATGTTCAACTGATTGCTGTGTTACATATTGTTTCAGCGTTGTTTCATATTGGTTCAGCAATGTTTCATATCGGTTCAGCAATGGTTCATATTGGTTCAACAATGTTTCATATTGAATTGACATCAGCATTTCATATTGGTTCACTGATGTTTCATATCGGTTCAGTAATATTTTATATTGGTTCAGCAATGTTTCATATTGAATTGACATCAGCATTTCATATTGGTTCAGTGATGTTTCATATCGGTTCAGTAATATTTTATATTGGTTCAGCAATGTTTCATATTGAATTAACACCAACATTTCATATTGGTTCAGTGATGTTTCATATCGGTTCAGTAATGTTTTATATTGGTTCAGCAATGTTTCATATTGAATTAACATCAACATTTCATACTGGTTCAGTGATGTTTCATATCGGTTCAGTATTTTTTCATATTGGTTCATTGATGTTTCATATCGATTCAGTATTTTTTCATATTGGTTCAGTGATCTTTCATATCGGTTCAGCAATGTTTCATATTGAATTAACATCAACATTTCATACTGGTTCAGTGATGTTTCATATCGGTTCAGTATTTTTTCATATTGGTTCAGTGATGTTTCATATCGGTTCAGTATTTTTTCATATTGGTTCATTGATGTTTCATATCGATTCAGTATTTTTTCATATTAGTTCAGTGATATTTCATATCGGTTCAGTATTGTTTCATATTGGTTCATTGATGTTTCATATTGGTTCATTGATGTTTCACAATGGTTCAACAGTGTTTCATATTGAATTGACATTTCATATTAGTTCAGTGATATTTCATATCGGTTCAGATTGTCTCATATTGGCACAGTTATGTTTCATATTGGTTCAGTGATGCTCCATATCAGTTCAAAAGTGTAAATTGCTTCATATTCAATTGACAACAATATTTCATATTGGTTTAGTAATGGTTCATATTCGTTCAGTGGTGTTTCATATCAGTTCAGCAATGTTTCATATTGGTTCATTATTGTTTCATATCAGTTCAACAATCTTTCATATTGGTGTAACAGTGATTCATGTTGAATTGACACCATTCAACGTTTCATATTGGTTCAGAGATGTTTCATATTGGTTCATTATTGTTTCATATCAGTTCAACAATCTTTCATATTGGTGTAACAGTGTTTCATGTTGAATTGACACCATTCAACGTTTCATATTGGTTCAGAGATGTTTCATATTGGTTCATTATTGTTTCATATCAGTTCAACAATCTTTCATATTGGTGTAACAGTGTTTCCTGTTGAATTGAAACCATTCAATGTTTCATATTGGTTCAGAATTGTTTTATATTTGTTCAGTTATGTTTCATATCAGTTCAGCAATGTTTCAAATTGGTTTAACAGCTCTTCATATTGAATTGATACCAACTTTTCATATCGGTTCAGCGATGTTTCATACCAGTTCTGAGGTGTTTCAGTGCAGTTAATAAACTTAACCAAGAGGTGGTGTCAAGGATTTATTTCGCAAGAAATCAATAGGAAAGAAGTTGAAGTTCTACAACTGAAAATAATCTTCAGGTCAGGACAAAAAAGTCAACATATTCACTTTGCATACAATTCTCAGTTTCAAAATTCTCTGCTATAAATTAAGTGTTATTATAAACATACAAATGACAAACATGTTTTGTCTGAGGACTTTTATAATTCGTAAATGTTTAAGTGTTGAAAGTTGGCAAATTTATTTTTGTATATTTCATATAACAAATACATAAACATACCAGAGGCTAACAATTGGTTTATACATTCTAAGTAAATTAAATATATAATCTGTCTTCATTGTCAAGGATACTTAATCTCAGCTGAATCATTTTTTCACTTCCTAGATCTTTAGCTTGGTCTCATGCCGATTTTCTCAACAAGCTTATCAAGCTTAGGTTTAAAACTTTGACATGTTCGAAAATTGTTGGACTCATAGAATGAGAATGAGGTAAATCTGCTTTGACATGGCGTAGAATAATGGAAATAACGTCACAACGCATGCGCGTAAATCGACATTTCATGGTCCAAAGATTTCAATGGAGAGCAGTCTTCATCAAAATTTAAAATCTTAATAACTTTTTAGCAAATAATTTATTTTCTTAGGATTCAACGGATCCTTGTTAGACCCAACGAAGTGTTCATTTTGATATATAAAACAGCAAAATCCATCCACAGATCTTTCGGCCTTTTAATGATTTAATTTTCGGGATATTTTGCTAAAATCCCCCATTGGCCGCCATTATAGACTTTGAAAAACCCCAAATCCTCATCATTTCATATCATTCGTTAAGTGATCTAAACAACTCCAATCGCTTAGGATTCAACGGATTCTAAGAGATCAAAGCTAATACAATATGTTGACAACCCCCGTTTCAATATTTGCCGCATAATCTTTCGGCCTTTTAGGTTATAAATTTGTCAATATTTTGATTTTCGACCATTAATGACGTACTTGGATCCAAGATTCATTGTCCCAGGATTCATGACGCTATTTCCATTATTCTACGCCATGAGTAAACACCTGAGCACTTCAGGTGTGATGTTAAAACCTAGATTCAAAACAAATGTCAGGGCAAATCCATATACATTCTTTCAAGTCCCATAGAACCTTATTTCAGTATTTCATTATATTGGGCAGTCACATGCAATATAAAAGCAATAAGTCCGATCATAGGTAAAGAATGAAGACTTGATGGGATTTTCCCTAATGAGATCCCATGGAGTCCTCCAAGTCTTATAAGACACCTCATAGGGAAAAGTTCCATCTACATCGATCGAGTCTCAAATAATGTTAAGTCTATGGATGGATACCCTTTGCATTTGTTGGACTTCACTTCTTAAAAGAGAGCTATGAGTTTGATTTACAATAAATCTCTGAACTCACTAAGCCAATCAGAGTTTGTCATCCAAATACAGACGACTCTTTCTATGTGATAATTTCCTCTGACATCATTGAAGGTTACTGATCAAGCATTTAAGCATGTGATTCTTCCAGTTCACTGATTGGTTGAGAAAAGTTCATTGCAGTAGGTTTGAAATGATTTAAAACTGGCTGCCATGGGCACCGCTTCTAGAGGCGGGGCTGGTAAACTAGTCTATAATAGGCAGAGGGTAGTTTATAACTAGACTCTGCGCACAGGTTATATATGGAGGTTAAGAACTTAGGATTGCATGAGTTTAGCTGTCCCTTCATACAAGGATGGAATCCCTGGAGAGACTGACTAGCCTAGGTAATTCCGGGGGTAATTCACAGTTCGCAATCACCAGCCATGGAAAGGAATGATTATTTAGCCAACCATGACTACATTTGAGTAAATGACATATCACTGAAGAGTAGAAATGTGGCTTCATGGTACATTGAATGAAATCAATGCAGTCATCACTGGCTTTGGTTTTACGCTTTATTTGTTTGTTCCGCAGATGTATAATACAAGATGAAGTTGTTGACAAATATTCGAGTGTCAAAAGTACACTATGTGTTGTCAACAAAAATTGACGTGATTAAATTACATAACAGACCCTGGAGGTATGAACAGTCTCCTGCAGATTTCAGTAAAAAACACAAGGCCAAAACAATGAAAAAATTCAATGCCAATCTTTGAACTAGAGAAACCCATATATTTCATATATCCGCAAACCCCTACACTTACCTCTGGTCTACTTTTGTTATAGTGATTGAAGTGGTTGAAATGGTTGTGGTTATTCATCTTTCCATCGTATTATGGAGCGTTTAGAGAAGGTTTTCATCGCAAATTCACACTTGCAAATAAAAAATAAAAACAAGAATGTCCGACTATAATAATTTGTTACGAAACTCCTGATTGGTTAGAAAACTGTATGCCAAAACGAGGCAAATCTAATTAAAGGTCCAGAAAGTAAACAATTAAGCACGTGGTCAATGTTGTTAATAACAATTAATGGTATTGTAAGGTCAATTGTCATAAAATATAACAGTTCCTGATTCATACAACATAACAAATCGTTTGCATTTAGTATTGGCAATTACTCATCGATGTTTTACCATCCAATCAGCTTCAGTCACACAACTGCAAGCACTGAAAAGAAGTTGACCTGATTATAATTGACCTTATAACGTGACGTCACTTGATGCAATAAATTACTCGATGGATACACCCCGGGGATACACCCGTCGCAATCAACGATCAGGGGGGGGGCGGGGTTAGAGCTAGTAGGGTTAGAGCTAGTAGGATGGGTAGACAGCTCCCGGGTAGACATCAACGGGACATAGGGTGTATCGATTTGACATGGAATGTGTTCCATTGACAGGATATCAATAGAAGCCATTGGTTTCCATTGATTTATGCCAAAAATTCACTATGACCATACCCTTTGCATTCGTTTGACTTCATTTTTTAAGAGAGCTTCGTCTTTGTAGTTTAGACTCTGCACGCACGGTACTATGACCACTGGCGGGTCTAGAGAGGATCCAGGGGGGGGGGCATACCCCCACCCTTTTATGGGCCCAGAGACATTTTTAGAATCCCAAAATTTTGTACCTCAAAAATTTTGTAGGGGCTCAAATAACTCAAAATTTGGTCCCCCTTGTTGATTTATGGAAGGACCAGTGATGACCTGAATCGATTGCAAATTAGATTATTTCACAATATGACATAAATGGTACATCTCATCAAATGTGAAAATATGAAGTTTGCAATCGACTCAGGACATACTTAAATTGAAAGATTGTACATTTTTTCATACTTTTTTTCCTATAAAATGACTTTATTTAAAATCCTTGAAATACTTCCATGGTTACATTGTACATTTTTACTATATTTCATTAAACTTACTGCCCCAACTCTGACCCCCTGTCGCCAAAGTAACCATAATAGGTACCGGTAAGTTCGGCATTATCTGATTATTTTGTAATCAAACTCTTTATACATACCGGATTCCTCTGATTCTACATTTCAACAAGAGTACCAATCAAAGGTGGTAACAGAATAGATTTTGGTATAAAACACTACTATATCAAATGCGACATGGTAATTTAAGAGTTGTTTTAATGAGACGGGGGATGATCATCGTGAGACTAGATTACATCCTTCTATCGGTTTCCTTCAAGAAATTCCTTCTTTGCAAGGCAGAGATGGTCTGAGCATCAGAATGGAGAGTGACACAATTTACTAAAGCATATGAAGAATTCCACACACTTTTCTTTTTTACTAATAAGCTGCTAAATCACAAACATAAAGCAATCATTCTTCCATAGAACTCAGTTCTGCTCCAATACGAAATTAGGGAGTTTACGCTTGCAATGTTTTTCACAACCTAAAGGTACGTTCACACCAACGGCGAATGCCACGCTTTAAATCGGCGAGCAAAGCGCCGTCATTTTTGTCATTTTTCTTCATACCAACGGCGCTTTGATGGCGCTTTAAAGCGGCTTGTAAAGCGGCACCAAAGCGTAACAAAGTTTGATTAAAGCGTCGGGGTCGTAATAGGTCGTAGAAAAGCTCAGAGTAAAACGGGATATTCGGCAAGAGCGCCAAAAAATTTTAAACTCTTAAAAAATTTTGGGCGCTCTGTTACGAATCGATTAAGCGCCGAGAGCGTATCAAAGCTTAACAAACCGTAACAAAGCTCAGAAAAACTTGATCCAAAGCGTAGGAAAGCTTAACATAGCTCTAAAAGGTTCCTCACGCTTTGATCCCGCTTTGATCAGGCTTTGTTACGCTTGAAATCACGCTTTGAAAAGCTTTGATAAGCATTATTACGCTTTGATGCGATTATGACGATTTAAATCAGGCTCTGATACGATTGCAAAACTCTGTTGTGCATTGTTACGCTCTGTTAAGCTCTGTCACGCATTGGAAAATGTCGAGATCGCCGATTCCATGCCGCTTTTGATCCAATGACTATATAAAGATGCAGTAGATCCATAAAACCATTGCATCTTTGACTCGAGAACACGATGGCAGAACAACGAGATCCAGAAATTCCAGATGGACCAGAGCATGACCTATCTGAAGAAGACATGACGTTTGTCGCACGGCGTGATATAGCGTGTGAAAACTTTCAAGCGTAACAAAGCCTAGCAAAGCGTTTCAATCCTTGATTAAAGCGTCTCAATTCGTTGGAAAGCTTGAGAGTCCCTCAGGAAAGTGTAACAAAGAGTGTCAGATATTGATGAAAGCGTCTGACCTCGTGTCAGATCTTCATGCCAGATCGTAGCAAATCTTGAGACATCTTAACGAAGCGTGTCAAGTGGTAACAGACCGTGAATAGACTGGGGTCCCCGCTTTGAACCAAGCTGTGTTAAGCTTTCCTACGCTTTGAGTCAAGCTTTGTTGAGCTTTGTTACGGTTTGTTAAGCTTTGATACGCTCTCGGCGCTTCAATCAATTCGTAACAGAGCGCCCAAAATTTTTGAACAGTTTAACATTTTTTGGCGCTCTTGCCGAATATCCCGCTTTACTCCGAACTTTTCTACGACCTATTACGATCCCGACGCTTTAATCAAGCTTTGTTACGCTTTGGTGCCGCTTTACAATCCGCTTTAAAGCGCCATCAAAGCGCCGTTGGTGCGAACGCTTAAACAGTTTAAATTTTTTAGCGCTCTTGCCGAATATCCCGCTTTACTCCCGAGCTTTTCTACGACCTATTACGACCCCGACGTTTTAATTAAGCTTTGTTACGCTTTGGTGCCGCTTTACAAGCCGCTTTAAAGCGCCATCAAAGCGCCGTTGGTGTGAACGTACCATAAACGTGAACGGGAAATATTTAAGCGATGTATTTGTATGGGTGATTGGTCATACGGATAGGTTGGCGTTTCGATTTTATATATGCAAATTAAACTCCCTATTATTGGAAAAGGACGCAAACGTAAGTTACAAATACTCAAATATCCGAGATAGTCAAAAATTTAAAATATTAATTTGAAAAAATATGTCTTGGCAACCAGCTTCTGCCATTTCAAAGGACATGTCTCGGTTTGGAGAGCAGTCTAACTTACTGAGCTAATGATTTTTTGCATGAAAAATATAGAAATAAAACCCAAATTAAATTATGAATATTCAAAAGAAGACGTTTAAATCTACAATTTGTAAAAATATCAAAATTGTCCGAACGTGTAGTATTCAAGAAAAGACTCGGTTTGGACAACGATGTTCATCAGTCTACTGCGCTAATATTTTTTTGAAAAATATAGAAATAACACCCAAATAAAATTATGGAAATTCAAAAGAGGACATAAAAATCTACAACTGCAATAAATGCTGACAATGTCAACCAGTTCAAGGCGCAAATTAACAAACACAGAACCTAAAGTACCACTACAACGAGATGACAGCCCCTTTAACCCATGTCCAGTGCACTTTCAAGAAAACAATTCCCCCCCCCCCCTTTCCCACTTACTAAGACCTTACATATAACAAGATCTGGATAATATAGGATCCTTCCTTCTTCCAGAAGAAATGGTATACATTTATACAGGTATAATAGTACTAAGTAAAAATATCAAAATTGTCCAAAGCAGGCGTAACGTGCAGTAGACTCATCATGATAAACCATGCCATCCCATTTCTTCTCAACCCTGAGATGTTCCAGGTGAAACAGAAAGATGCCATGAGTATCAGAATGCAGTAGACTGATGAACTTCGTTCACCAAACCGAGACTAGTCTTTTCTCCTTTATAGCGACATGCTAATGCTGAAGCTAAAGGGACCATATAGGATAGAGGAGAGACATGTTATATTTGAGCTCTTGGGACATACTTTGTATTGCATACGTATTGTGAAGATCCAAGTGTTCTTGGTTACCCAAGTATTGTTTTGGTTCATATCGCAATCGCAACCAAAAAAGGTTCATATATGACATTAAACGTGCTTCAAATAGGGATGTGGTAATTTGTAATCCCCATAAAACCTTCTTAAGGCATTTTAGAAGAGTTTCCTTGGAGTATCTACCCTCAACGTCCTCATTTCAGAACTCAATATCCATCTTATCTTCGACAATAGCACCTGTATTTTCGGTCACATTCAGGCCAGGGCCGTTTCCAGGATAATGAAATGAACTATATTTTTGGCAAAACACTAAATTTTGAAATGCCTGTAACTTTTTACCATTTGTGAGTTGAATCATGATACTTGGCAAATCAATGTAACTTTGGATGAGCTTTAAAATGATATATGACACATGCTATGGAGACATTGGTATGTTTTCCTAGGGGGAGGAGCATGCTCTCGTGACACCCTGTATGGTACAATTTATAGTTAATAAAATGTTTTAAAGTGTATTGGTATTTTTGGGATGAAAAACAAGCGAAATGCATGAAAAAACTCCCCCGGTTCATTCTACAAACAACACCCACTCCTTTTCATTTTTTGGGCCAGCGTTTTTACCAGCAAAATTATTTTGTGGCTTTCTTGTGATTTAGACCTGCATAAATAAGTGAACTCAGAACACCACTTGGGTTATCAGAATAGTTGGGAAAGATTCTTTGATACAGCAGAACAGTTGGGCTTCCACATTGATTGTGCTGAATGAGTTGTGCTAGTTAAAATAGATCAATCATGTCAGTTTATCGTTCAAGTCCAGTCGTTTTTCCAAATGATTTTGGCTGACTAGTAATAGATGGCGAAGAAATCAATGGGTTTAATTTTCACAATGTGGAACAAAGAAGAACAACAGACCAGTGGCAATAAATGAATTGCAATCTTTACGAGTCATCATCGCCAAAATTATTATATTATTCTATGCTCATTTTCTGTTCAGACGCACGGTAAGAGGCTGATTTTAAGGATTGCTTTCTTTGCGATGTCATCTCAAAACGTT